TTAAAATATATATGAAATAGTATATTTCAAACTTCAATGTTCAAAATACAATGCTCTGTAATGTACAACATGAACTCTTACAACAACTACTGACAAGCCAACTCCCAATGCAAACTCAGCTACATGTGAGTGAGAAAGACCATATAAGGGAACAATAGATAAATAAAACTGACACAGTTTGCATAGTTGAATAACTGGTTTCAATAAAAGGTGAAAAGTGAACATGGTATTAAAAGAGTAAAACTGCAAACAACCTACTTAGGGACCTGTTATATTGAGATGAATAGGGATTGATTAATATGAACAGTAATAATATAAAATGTGAAAATGACCATGTTACATGTACAAAAAATAACCCCATTGTTACAAAATCACAAAAAGTGAAATATCTATTCTTGTATTGCATTTTCGTTCACTGGACATATTTTAATTTGCATTGCTATTAGATACATTTTAAGGGTGATATGAAAATTGAACCACGAAAACAGATGTACTTTAAGTTAAAGGGAACTTTCTACCATACCCGCCATGCTATCTGACCCGAACGAGCCACCTTGTGGTGAGATTGGTAACTACCTGCTCGCATCTGCGTTATTACGCAGAGACATAAACGTATACACAAGGAAACGATAGGAGCTAACCTATTTTATCTCTGTATACATTTTAACTTTAATACATCGTTACAAAAAAATACGAAATACCTGTATATTGATTTTTTGACCTTGACCGATTCTTGAATTGAATCGAATTTGTCCAAAAGTCTTGAAACGTAAAATACCTAAATATTTATCTTTGACCTTGGGATAACCTTGTACAAGAAACATTAATGTTGACCTCGGTTCATCTAATCATAATTCGCCAAGGGCCATAGTATCATCAAACGCCAAATACCTAGACATTGATCGTTTACCTTTGAATGAACTTAACTCTGACCTTCGGAGACCAACTTACTAAGGTTAAATGGTGTAGAAGGAGATGTCCTAACAGACAGACAAAATGACAGACAGACCAAACATGCTTTTATAGTAGGTCTCGACATCTCCTTTTGCCCTCATACTTGATGGGCCAGTGAGCGTTCTACTAAGGTCAGAGGTCAAAGTCATTCTACGTTTAAGGCAGAATCAGATATATGGAGGTGACAAAATTACAAGCAACATGTACAATTGACGTACTTATCTATTCCTTACAATCTTAAATACAATACCTCACAAAATGTTTACGATATGTTAGAAATCGATGAAGTTATAATAGATTAAAAGTGCAAAATTGTAAATAATAAGTAACCATTCTTATAGAAGAAATATACAAAAGTCATTGTTGTTAACTCTTTAGTTTTCCTGAAATAAAGTGTGCAGTTTTGGGTTTTTCAGATAATAGACATGAAAAGGAATGACATTAGCCAGAAATATTCTAAAATTGAAACATTTTTTTTGTTAGACTGCTTGCTAGATCCGATTCTCTCTTTAAAATGTCAATATCTAGGTTTACGCGTTTTTTACCCTTGGTCTGAGATTCGACCCTTGATGAGGCATGATTAGGTGACCTGAAGTCAAGGTCATTCCTATGTAAAATATCAATATCTATGTATTTGGTGATGTAAAGTCCTTTGGGCTGCTGTGACCCTTGGCAACCAACGATTAGGTGAACTGAGTTCAAGGCCAATGTAACTGGGTCAAGTTTGTTTCAAGATCAAAAATTAATATCTAAGTATTTGGCGTTGAAAGGACCTTGAGGGCTACAATGACCCTTGACGACACATGATTAGGTGACCTAAGGTCAAAGTCAATGTGTATTGGCCAACGTTATTTCAAGGTCACATCTAGGTACTATTATCTGGCGTTTCACGAGGTTTCAACAAGTTCATCTCAATTCAAAAATCAGTCAAAGTCAATACAGGTATTTTGCATTTTATGGAGATGCTGCTATATGGGGACCCTTCGTGATCCACTCGAACATGTAGATTGCTAGTATTTGTAAAGATGTATAAAAGTTAAAATGTATACTTACCATGAGCTCCTATCGTTGGATTTAAATAAGGAGTATGATTTTAAAATTGGCTAGGTCGTGGTTAAGCAACAATAGTAGAGAGGTTAAGCTACACGTATTTAACAAAACTTGAACGTGAACTTCAATGCGCGCGCAGATAAATGACGTCAGATTTGTTTATTTCCTTTGGGCCAGCGTGAAGTTTACAGTTTTTTACATGAGATTATCATATTCGTGCAATTTACAGACGCATATTCAACAAAGCATGAACGTGTACTTCTATGCGCGCGCAGGAAAATGACGTCAGATTAGTCTACTTTCTACAGGTAGGCGTGAAGTTACAGGTTTCTACGTGTAGATGAGTGATTACACGTCCCTCATTACGTGATTGATTTTAGCTATGTTCTAGGATGGCCCTGGAGCCCATATTTGATACAGACAATCTTACTTGTTATATTGGTAAACCCCAATCCTTAATTGGAAATTAGAATACATTTTAATGGGTAAATGACAACTTCAAATGTGATCGTTTGTTCATTCCATACAATATAAATTGGCAAGACCTATTTGATGCCCGGGGCTTAGTAAAATATGTATACTAAACGAAATGAAATGACAACCAGGGCAAGAAAGGATTTAGTGCGCCCTCCATTATGATCTCCCCATGAACAAAAATAAATTCATCTGATTTTTCAAAATAAATATACTGCTTTTATTATTACATTTATATGTACACTAGTATCTTGTTGACCTATATTCAGCACTGAATGGACCACTTATTAGGGCCAATATTCAATCATAAAGTGTACAGGGGTAGAGATGCCAAACCATGAAGTCTTTTTGTGTCTGTCAAAATCCATTTGCATCCTACACATCCCTACATCTTATCCAAATGTGTTATTAATTAATGAAACATAACAGTATAATTTTTGTATTTACAAAGTTTTATGGGATTTCATAAGTCTAAAAGTTGCTTTTGAAGCATTTTTCTATTGCCATTTTGTAGGAAAAAATCTTTTAATTGAAGTTTGACCTGAATCGTTTGCAAACTTTATATTTGCACATCTGATGTGATATACCATTTGTGTCATATTGTGAAATTATTTAATTTGCAATCGATTCAGGTCATAGTGTATTTTAGGTATTTTTGTGAAAATCAATAGAAACCAATGGTCTCCATCGGAATCTGATGGTATCCACATGTTAAGCCAATAGAACACATCCAATGTCAAGTCAATATACCCTTGATGAACTTAATGACCTCAACCTCAAACAATGTGGGTCAAAACGCTTAAATATTTTCCAAAGTATTATGTGACATTGTATTCTTTATGTTACAGTTAAAAATGATTCATTTTGTTCATGGGGAATCCATAATAGAAAGTGCACTAGACCCTTTAATTGTGGTTGAATATGAAATTAAGCAAAAATAAAAAACAAAATGTTTTATTGCGACTAGATTCGAACCCAGGCCTTACGAACATACGTGAAGTGCTAGATTGCCGAAGTGCTATCCATTACACCATAGAGGCATGACCTTTAGACACACTCACCACATAAATATAGCTCCACGTCCACTGACATGGTTTCAGACGTGTAGCTTAACTGAAAATTTTCTTAAACGTGTACTTGAGCGTGGACTTACGCGTTCAGGTTCACGGTTTGCATGTATACGTGTAGCTTAACCTCTCTAGTATGTTCGAAATACCGCTGTGTAATGCCTGGATCACATTTGCTGCGAGTATTTTGTTCAAAATTGAATACATTTCTGAACACAATACTCAATCGGCCGGGCGCCGTAGTGAAATCGGAGCAAATGTGACCAAGACATAAAACAATTGAATAATACTGTATCAGTTTCACATTTACAGCGGTCAAAAGCATTTACAAAAAAAACGCCAGAGTTGGCAATCATATAAAGTGAAACCAATCCCGCTGTGATTCATAGAAATAACTAATTTACTGCATTGAGTTCAATGTTATAACCATGTCGATTTACATGAGTGTCCGATTCATTGTACCAAATTTAAACCTTGACTGTCTGAAAGCAATAAGCTGACATATATCATATTTTACATTTTAATACAACTGAAAAGATAATAAATGTTTTAATATAAAGTTGACGTAGTTATAAATAATAATGTTTTCAGCGTAAAATCAAAGCACAACCATATAATTAAAAAAATTACGCTGGGATTCCAACTGGATACAACTGACGAGTTGTATTTAAGGTGGCCTAAAGTGCCGCTTATTTTTTCGTGAAGCCACTCAGTAAAATTACGATTTCTCTGCACCCTGATGTTCAATCAACATCATTCGAGTATCTATATGTTCCTGACACGTTCGGGCATCCGGTTATGACAACGTCTACCCAATGTTTGCACGAGAAATTGACGTGATTGGTGATCCTCTAAATCCAATTAGAATACTATCAAGATATGAGACATTTCTACACTGGATAAATATGTCTCAAATAACGTAGGACAACACAGATTAATATTTATGTGTGGAATGCTAAGTTAGTAAAACTACTCACAGGACATTCTAGTACAGATCATTAATAGACGAGACCGGACACCACGGATACATAAATACTCGGGATTAGATACATCTTGTATAATAACATATAATTAATAACCAAACATAGATTATAGATTTCAATGATTTGGCACCTACGGGCGGCATCTGCAGTGTGGGCAATTGTTGTATTTATAACTAACATAATAATTCTTCAATTATCATTGACCACACTGCAAACTGGCCCTGAGGATGATTTATTAAATCAGTGATATAATACGTCACTGATAATAAATAAACATACAAATTACAAAATAACAAAAAACCTGTGACAAAATAATTGTATAAGCTCGAAAGGAATATCTAAGGTAGTATCCTTAATTGGAGGGTGAGGTGGGAGGGGGAAGAAAAACTGACTTGTTACTTCTAAATCAGAAGGTACAATGAACACAGTAATTTACGCTGGAATTTATTTTACCAATCACGGAAAGTGACGAAGATTGCCGACGACACTTTCACGAGATTGGTGATCCTCTAAATCCAATTAGAATACTATCAAGATATGAGACATTTCTACACTGGATAAATATGTCTCAAATAACGTAGGACAACACAGATTAATATTTATGTGTGGAATGCTAAGTTAGTAAAACTACTCACAGGACATTCTAGTACAGATCATTAATAGACGAGACCGGACACCACGGATACATAAATACTCGGGATTAGATACATCTTGTATAATAACATATAATTAATAACCAAACATAAATTATAGATTTCAATGATTTGGCACCTACGGGCGGCATCTGCAGTGTGGGCAATTGTTGTATTTATAACTAACATAATAATTCTTCAATTATCATTGACCACACTGCAAACTGGCCCAAAAGCGCCCGCAATGAAAATAAAAATAAAGAAACAAAACAAAAGGTAACACATAAATGTGAACACAAAGCGTTTAACTATATTGTTACCTCTCTCACGCGTTCAATACTTAGTAGAAAGCTTGCTAAACCCCTGAAAATATAAAAGTGAAACTCATATGAGTTTAATGATTACAGGCTATGAATTGAGCAAGTCTCTCAGATAAGTATTGTCTCTGATCCTCATCGATCTCCAAATATAATTTGTAAGCATCTGAAGCCCAATCACCTTGCTTTTGAATGAACTCTCCAGGTAGTCCAATTTTAAAGGCAAAGGTGGCGCCACCCCTGCGGAAACTATGACCTGTGTAACGTTCACTATGCACTCCCAAGAGTTTAAGTTTTAGCCTAAGTGAAGAAACAAAGGAGTTGGCCGTGATGAACTCCCCAGGGGCAAAGGTAAAAGCTGGTGAACCCAATTCAACTGGTACCCTTCCGAATAATTCTTTGATAAGACGAACTGGGCAAATAGAACTGTGGGGTATTCGAGAAAGAGGGATCCTGACTTTTCTAGATCCCGATTGATTGGTTTTGCTCCATTTAAGGTTTACCCAAACCACCTCATCTTGAATAAGAAAATCACCCCTGGAGAGATGTTTGTTACTGTCATATCTGTATTTAGAAGGAGGAACTATGTTAGATTTCCTCGCAAACAGGAAGAAGGCCACTACCCAGGAAGTGCATAATGCAAGTTCTTTTGGATTTGCTAAATCCGAAATAGAGACTAATTGCTTTAAAATTGTAGGAGTCATAGGTTCCGCCTGTAAAGGGGTGTGTGGGGATTTTTTCTGTACTCCCATTAATAGAAACTTGGCGTCTATAGATTTATGATGAACAAATTCGAAACCAGAAATCTTGTGTAACAATCGTACACCATTCAAATAATTTCTGATCGCTTGAGTAGTCTTAAAAGATCTGGCAAGAAATTGAATATATCTGAGGGTATTTTCTAATGACAAAGGCATACTCTCTATTTCTAAATAAGTACAAAACAAAAGGTAAAGATTCCATTGGACCTTCAAATTCTCCCTCGTACCTTTGGCAAAGGCAGCTCTTTGAGTGTCCCTGATCTCTTTGTCAAGCCTTTCAATTTCAGACACTGCAATATAAATTAAATTAATAATTTACCAATTGTGTAAAAATTCAAACAAATATTTTGAACAATACCTTTCCCTGACAGAAGACCCTTTAACAGAGTCAAAAAACTTTTCTGAATTCTTTCTATCCCATCTGGATAGTAAATCAGGCAATCTGTTGTCGATTCCAGCAATGTGCACAGTTTTAATCTCAAATTCATGATGAGCTTGTACAAATAAAGCTTCTCTTAAACATTTTTGCATCATTTCTGATTTCGCTCTACCTGAGTTAAGGGCTAGAACCGATGTATTATTGTCGCAATTCATTAACACTCTTTTACCTCTCAGGTTTTGGGCCCATAATTTCATGGCTACAATAATGGTCAAAAGTTCCAGTTCATTGATGTTCAAGTTCTGTTCTAAAATGAAACTCGGAAATTCGGTGTGAAAAAATTCACAGAACGCGTAACCACCGCATGAAGTCAATGTAGCGTCCGTAGCTATTATGACGTCGGGTTCAGACCACGGTTCAACCGGAATGCACGAAACTCCGTTATATTCATCTAAGAAAATTTCCCACCACATGAGATCCTTGGATATTTCCTCCGGAATAATTTTCTTACCTCTGTCAGGAAGTAATTTCAAGAAATTCAGCAATCTCGAAATAAACAACCTCCCAGGTCGGACACATTTGGCGGCAAATTGGAGTTTTCCGATCAAAGATTGCAACTGCTTCTTATTGCACTTCTTCTTCTTTAACCATTCTTTCACGATGGATTTTATCTCGGATAAACGTTCGGGTGTTACTTTTAACGTCATGTTTTCTATGTTAACCAAAATTCCGAGAAATGTCATTTCTTGACAAGGTGGACATTCCTTTGATATTGACATTTGAATATTGAGATCATCTAGGATCTGTTTTAGGCTTGCGAAACTTGACGCGATATTTTCACGCGTATCTACACCTGCGAAATCGTCCAAATATACAATGCTTTGAAAGCCTTGTTGGTGATGTATGTGAGTAATTGCCGTAGTGGTTTTCTGACACGCGAGGGCGGCTAATCTGCTGCCAAATGGAAAAACCTGGTCGAAATAAAGTCTATCTCTCCATTTGTATCCAAGTAAGTGTATGTCACCCGGGTCAAGAAAAAGTTGTCTGTAAGCCCGGCGAAGATCCAACTTGAACATCAACGCTCCGGAACCTTTCTCGACAATAAGATCACACAAATCATCAATAGTAGGAAAACGCAAATTGTATTCTTGACCTTGAATGGTATTTTTAGGGGTATTTGAATTTATGGAATCTCCCTTCGGCCAACTCAGATCAAGAATAGTTCTTCGCGTATCTACATCCTTTTCAACAGTGTTTAAAGGAGATATAGCACACTCACAATTGAATGGATTTGAAACAAATGGACCTATAGCACCTCCCAACTCAACCTCAGTACTAATAAATTTGTCTACATGACTGGGGTATTCACAAGCACCTTTATGATTGATTTCCGTGGAAGGGCATTGTTTATTAGCTGACTGGGAGTATCCTAACGGCCACCCATATTTTGTGAACTTGAGTACATCTTTATCATGATAGTCTACAAGCATTGATTCAAGCTTATCGGTATTGATTTTGGTATTGACTGGTATTTTACAACCATCTGCATTAGCAACATGTGAATTGAATATTTCATTGTGATCCTGAATGACTTTTTTGAAGCAATGCTTGCTATCAGACAGTGGTGAATGTTCAAGTATACCAGAACACTTAGAAATGTTATCACTAAACTCTTCCTGATATTGTGGAATATCTGAATCAATTTCTCCTGTAACACTACTTCCACAATCAGTTTCAATACCGCTGTCAGGATTTAACAATAAGACTGGGTCGAAGTGTGAATCTAATAAATCCCACTCCCCATAGTAACTACTGTCTAGTCATGCAGTCTTACTAGTGTGAAGCGGACAATTATTGTCATTTTCTGGGTGTGCCCGCTCTTTTTTATCAGTAAGCCAGCATTTAGCACAAATATGTTTTACAGACACAGTCTTATTGTTTACCTTACTTGAGTGAGTTTTCTCGCTGGACTTGCATTCACCACGATTAAAAAACCTACAGAAATACACAGATTCTGAATCATTTGATGGATATGAAGTTGAGATACTGGCCATTGAGTGTGATTGAGCTGTGTTACTTAAATTATCTTCCCTCAAGGCGAGTATCTGTACTTCATCACCCCATTCTAAATCGCCCCTTTCAATAGAGTGCAATACATCCGCATGGAAATCTCTGATTTCTGACCATTTATATCTTTGATTATAGGCATATGCAACCTTATTTAGCAAATTGACTCTACCTTCTCTTTCTGCTTTCGAAATCTTTTCAGAATTAATTATTGAAGTTTCCCCAGCCACGAACAATGGAAAGTCCAAATCAGACGTTGTTTTGTATTTTCTGGCGAATTTTATTTTTAAACCACTGTGAGGCCACATGAGTTGTTTTTTCACTTTATCCGTCGATTTCTTTGTTGACCCAGATTTCAAATGTTTCTTACCTCGATTTTTATTTTTCTTGGAAGAATGTTTATGATGATGATCAGAGTCAGAGTCTGACTGGTCTGAAGATTTCTCTGGATCTGTTGAAGTTGTACTGGATTCGGATTCACTGCTCGATTCAAATATTGTGGGCACTTTGGATTTGACGACTTTTTTTAAGGTGCGTTTCCTTCTCAAATCAGTGGCATTTAAATTGTCAATGTGAGATGATTTGGAGTTTTTTGAAATGGCTCCTGTTGCTCTGTCTGTGATGTTGTTTGAGGGAAGAAAACATACCGTATCTGTTGCTTTCTTTTCCTTTGTCTTAAGGGACCCCGTCTTTATATCATCGTTCGATTGTTTCTGGTCGTTTATGCGAGTTGTCTTGGACGATTTTTCAGGGATTGATTGGCGAGGTTGGCCATTGCGTCGCCAATTATTCTTTCGGTTTATGGAATCAGTCTCTGTTTCAAGATTTTCGATTGAATTTCTGATGTCGGAAATTTCCCGCCTCATTGCTTTGATCTTGTTTCTTTTGCAATTTTTTTCCACTTTGCGCAATTTGATCAGTTCTAATTCAATTGCTTTATCATCATCTGAAGAATCAACTGATGACGTAGAACTATTGAGGTCACTGTCAATGTTATGAATAGCAATAGGCACTTCATTGACCTGATCAGAAATTTGTGACTGTTCGATACTACCTTCAGAAACTTCTGTTTTAAGCTTGAGAGGTACTTGCCCAGTTGAATGGAGTTGTTTGTAATCGACTCGATCAATGTCTCTCCTCGAAGTTCTGGTCGGACTTTTGGAGTCTGCCATTGTCACTTGTGGGCTAAATTGTATGGAAATTGTATACTCTCTGCTTGTATATTGGGCAGTAAACTGTTACTATATGAAGACTTATTTATTAAGACTCAAAACTTTGACTTTTGACTATGACTTTTGGAAGAAAAACTGACTTGTTACTTCTAAATCAGAAGGTACAATGAACACAGTAATTTACGCGGGAATTTATTTTACCAATCACGGAAAGTGACGAAGATTGCCGACGACACTTTCACGAAATTCATGACTGAAATCGGGAAGACAAAAATATGTGATATTCTTTCAGAATTGTTTATAATAACTATTTACAAAAACGTTCCCGAAACACAATCCATTTAGGTAGGGTTTGTTTTAAAGTCGAAAAGCCCCAATAAGACAATACAAACCCAGATTAAACCCAGAAGAATGCAGATTTCATGTAATGATTTACGTTCATGTAAACAAGTAAAGTACATATAATCCCCATATAAAACACTGGCCTACGTGACATGTAAACACAGGTTCAAATTGAAATATAGAAAATTTTCAACATAACATTTGCTTCCGTGTTCTGTATGACCCTCTACCTGCTTAATAAGGCAATGTATCTTCAAATAAAACCTTAGCCAAGTAGATTAGAGTCTCTGGAACACTTTTGTAAATAGTTTTCACAAGCAATTTTATTCCCGGACGCCCAAACGTGTCAGGAACACATATATATTTGAATGATCTTGATTGGACATCAGGTTGCAGAGAAATCGTATTTTTACTGAGTGGATTATGGTATGAGGTTCCATATCAATCCGCCAAAAGGTATGACCTATATAGTCCATTTAAAAACTCGTGGTATTGTTCTAAATAACGCCATAGTTGGCTTCTTGGGTACCTGGTATGCCACTATTTGGTATCAAAATAAAGAGGAGGAGTCCAACTTTCATTTGAATTACGAAAATAGTGATGTAGGTCAAAAATAGTTCCGACGTGGGCATGTTTACTACGCGTTTGCCCATCATATCAGAATTGAGGAAGTGGTAGCAAACGCGAGTCACAATAAATGGACGCTGATATCTCAAAAAGTAACCTGACTCCCTATAATTTGATGTAGATCAATCGAACCCCTATATGAACAGGTACAATTTGAGTTATAACACTAAAGCGTTTTATAGTTGGTCACGAACGCCATATGTGCAAAGTATTGTTATGAATTTTCGAATTTGGCGTTGGATTACGGTACTCATACCTTATTGAATCACACTACCCTACCTCGATCGCGCATGCGCGAATCTTTTGGCTTTCAAACATGTCGCTTTTGAGTATATCGACTGCTTAGTCAAAAGGTTAATACGTTTGGTGCTCGGAGTGAGTCAATATTGCTATTCGCTACACTTCAGTGGTGCAATAGTGAAGTCCATGTTCCAAGTTATATGATAGTTGAAGAAATAATGTAAATAATATCGTTTTAAATTTTAAAATATTTGATATGGCATAGTGCACGGTACACAGCTGCAAAAGTTGATCAATACAGGGTACAAGGAATGTAAATTGTTCAATAGTACAGGGAGCGAGAAAGTAAGCTGATTATACAGACATACTATGTCCCGACCTCATGTACATTTACGTTGCAAACAGTGAAAGTAATGCTAAAAAGGCCGCCTGTTGATGCTTTGAGGTGTCATCAATTGTTATTTAATCCAAATAAAGTAAACATTATTTTGTAGATTTAGACACGGGCTTTCAAGTCGTATGCATTTTAGTCATTAAATTAACAAGAACGCTAGATTATACGTGTTACTAGGGTATCAAATTGAAATAAAATAACGAAATTAAATATCAACACGTTAATGATAAATGACTATCCGCTATCAGTATTAATGACTATTTGCTACTCAGAATAATTAAAATTGCCTGAACTACATATGAAGAATCTTTCTATAGAACCCCTTGAATGGTCTAATTCACTACCGTCCTAAAAACCCGACCATTCAAAATGTTTTGTTCAAATTCACAAAAATACAGTTGACTAACATACTAGAAAACGTATCCACCTATAACACGATGACACGCAGTTTAAACAACAGTTAACTGGTTTTTTTGTCACATATCAATGTAACATTTTCGAAGGGACACTTACATGCTCCCTGTACGTTGATAGATTTACTGAAATGTATCGTGTATTGCATTTGGTTTTGCTTCACTGCGCCCACTATTATCTATCTTTGCCTATAGTGTTTTTTTGCCAACAATATTCTACACACTCCTTGATGAATCAATTCTATGTCTGGTAGACACTAGAAATATATGTAAAATGTATTTTACGTTCAGAAATATGGAATTAAACCCACGTCCTCCATTTGCAACTAAGCTGTACCCTGTTTCCCTTTTAAACGTGGTCACGTGGTAGGGTAGTGTGTGAATTTCATAGATCTAAAGGCCCTTCAGGAGTGTAAAACCTTAAATTATCAGAGATTAATGTTTCCAAACTGTTTTGAAACAAACTAACGTCTTGTTTTCAACCTACACCTTGCTCCTTTCTGTCGTATTTAATAAAACAAAATAGTATATCACGGAGGGATACGAACCACTCACCTGGGACTTGGTTATTCACTAGCGCCATAGGCGTTCTACTATTCTGGATACAACTGACGAGTCGTATTTAAGTGGAGACAAAAGTGAGGATCATTTTGAATTGACGCTCGGTATAAATATATAATACTTTTGTTCTTTCATATCGGTAGCTCGTTGGCCTCATGGTTAGCGTGCCTGGCTTCCATTGTCTAGGTTAGTTGATCGAGACCCGTTCATGTCGAACTTTTTGATTTGCTTGTTGTCAAGATATAATAAGTAGGGCAAAATCTAGAAAAAGTAGATCAAAAATACACACTACCCTACCACGTGAAAACGTTTAAAAGGGAATCAGGGTACAGCTTAGTTGCAAATGGAGGACGTGGGTTTAATTCCATATTTCTGAACGTAAAATACATTTTACATTTATTTCTAGTGTTCTACCAGACATAGAATTGATTCATCAAGCAGTGTGTAGAATATTGTTGGCAAAAAACCACTATAGGCAAAGATAGATAATAGTGGGCGCAGTGAAGCAAAACCAAATGCAATACACGATACATTTCAGTAAATCTATCAACGTACAGGGAGCATGTAAGTTTCCCTTCGAAAATGTTACATTGATATGTAACAAAAAAAACAGTTAACTGTTATTTAAACTGCGTGTCATCGTGTTATAGGTGGATACGTTTTCTAGTATGTTAGTCAACTGTATTTTTGTGAATTTGAACAAAACATTTTGAATGGTCGGGTTTTTAGGACGGTAGTGAATTAGACCATTCAAGGGGTTCTATAGAAAGATTCTTCATATTTGATTATTCTGAGTAGCAAATAGTCATTAATACTGATAGCGGATAGTCATTTATCATTAACGTGTTGATATTTAATTTAGTTATTTTATTTCAATTCGATACCCTAGTAACACGTATAATCTAGCGTTCTTGTTAATTTAATGACTAAAATGCATACGACTTGAAAGCCCGTGTCTAAATCTACAAAATAATGTTTACTTTATTTGGATTAAATAACAATTGATGACACCTCAAAGCATCAACGGGCGGCCTTTTTAGCATTACTTTCACTGTTTGCAACGTAAATGTACATGAGGTCGGGACATAGTATGTCTGTATAATCAGCTTACTTTCTCGCTCCCTGTACTATTGAACAATTTACATTCCTTGTACCCTGTATTGATCAACTTTTGCAGCTGTGTACCGTGTACTATGACGTATCAAATATTTTAAAATTTAAAACGATATTATTTACATTATTTCTTCAACTATCATATAACTTGGAACATGGACTTCACTATTGCACCACTGAAGTGTAGCGAATAGCAGTATTGACTCACTCCGAGCACCAAACGTATTAACCTTTTGACTAAGCAGTCGATATACTCAAAAGCGACATGTTTGAAAGCCAAAAGATTCGCGCATGCGCGATCGAGGTAGGGTAGTGTGAAATACTCCAATGGAGTATAAAATTGTCACCAGGATTCCGGAATGAGACGAATGTTAACTCGTGAAATCTCGGTAGATAAAGTAGGTCAGAAAGTCCGGATTAATCCGAACAAGGTTCGGGAATTTCCGTCATAAGAAGTAGGTCAAAAATACTCCAATGGAGTATAAAATTGTCACCAGGATTCCGAAATACGACGAATCGAATCGGCAAACTTCGGTACAATAATGAAGTGCATAAAAACCGAAATGATCCGAACAACGTTCGGATAAAATCGTGAAACAGGTGTCAGGGGCTTCCCCTCATCTTTCCCGACATGGTTCTAAAAGCCTTATATGGATCTATCACGTGACATTCAAAATGACGTTCCTATATGGTTCTATGGGCCTTATATGGATCTTTCGAACACGTGACCTAATACCAAATCAAAATCAAAATTTTACCTTGACCATTGGATGGGATTTCATAGAAAATATCAAAGAAAACATATTCTCGTGATCCTTAAATCACTTAAATTCGATCATTTTATCTTCACCCCTTGATGGAATTTTATGAAAGAAGTTATGAAAACATATCATCATGTAAGGGTTTTCACCTAAATTACTGGATAATATTTCATAAAAAAATGCACTTTAAAAATATTTCAGGATTTGCCTTAATTTATCAATGTAATGTAAGTATTAGATTGACTCTCAAATAGGGTTCTATTTTAACTTTTTTTATTGAAATTAATACTAGGCAGGACTCACTCTCTAAATAGCTAATAAAAATTCAACCCTTGGATGTGATTTCGTTGAAAAAAATATGACAAGTCCAGAATCAAATGATTTGTCCAGAACCTCTTGAGATCCTGTTTCAGCTAATTACTCAGTTACTTACTCAGCTCTTTACTGATCTATCTAGGTCAAATAAATCTGGAGTCTTAAACTGAACTTGTTCAATTTTACCTATCTAGTTAATGATATGTTTACATTTTTATAATATTAAAAATCTGTTATCTTGTATGCTCCTTAACAAATTCAGAAATAGAGTCCATTTCACTGCTTCATTTCGTCAGTAGAACGGCAAATACATAAGAAATTGGGAGACCATTGTGCAATAATATATGGGGAAGTATATTCATAATGTACATGAATGACATTTGTATATCTTGGATTGGTTCTAGTTTGGCTTATAAAGTGTGTGGCCTCTTATATTTGGATGTTTCTCTGCCAT